GTCAACCACCTACAACTACATTCATGCATGCGGGGGCTGGAATTCTACGAAAAGACCAGCACCAAATATACCGCCATTTTACAAGCTCAGAGATCTTTTTTATTATATCGCCAAAAATAGTTTTCTAGTACAAAGCAACCTCTGTTTGGGCGAAATAATCGAGAAATACAATCTGCATTTGGCCAATGGAGTCATATATCGGCTGTTGTGACGTGAAAGTTGACGTTAAAATTGAAACGACTAGACTACCCTCAATTGCAAAGGCCACATCAATGTGATTTAACAATTCAATCCGAAACTGTGCGTATGTGTTTGAAATGCGGCGCAGGAAACACTGCTGAATGCGAAAAATTCGCCTCCGATATTTAACTCATAAGCTCAAATCAAAATTTGTTCTCGAAGCAATTCGAAGCTAAACAATGAACTTTTAATGAAAATGATTATTTAATTTAGCAAAAATTCCTAGAAGTATTGAAAAATAGTAGAAGAAAATTGGTTTTTATTCTAAATAAGCTCATTTTTGATAGCGGAAAACGATAATAATTAGTGGGCTTTTTTTTCATAAATAAAGAGTACAAGAGTACAAGAAGGTTATTCTGAATATGTTTGAAAAAAGAACAAAATGGAAAATGATGTGATTTTTTCAGCATCAAACTGCAAAATTTTCGAATATCATGAGCTATTTCTATTTTATATATCGTGGACGTCTTTCGTGTACATGTGTGTGATGAAAATATGAATAAAAACGAAGCTGATTCAAAATGGAAAAGAATAAAGAAAATCGCTGGGATTTGTGTTGCGCGACCCTCAAAAATCCAAACCACCATATATGCACTGTATACACACATATACACGCGCGCGACAGAGCATGAGCGAGCGTGAGGCTATAAAATATTGCTAAGTGTCAATGCCGTCTGTTGAATATGAAATGGTCGTTTAGAACGTGTATAAACTTTGAATCTCTTGATATCGCTTCAAATCGATGCTTGAAATGTTTTGTGTTGATGGTCAATAGATGTGGTCGCTTGGAATGGTCTGGTCTTTGGTTTCGTCTGTTGACATTACGGCTGTTTGCGAAATAGCTCGCTTTATTATCATTTTTGCTTTGGGTTACCCTTAAATGAAGCACAAAATTGTTTCATTTCGGATTTGCTCGTAATCGCGACGGCCACCAACCAACCGAATGAAAAGGAAGAAAAAAAACAAATCATCGTCGAAAGCGTTGTACACAGTGAACAAGAATAAAAAATAAAATTCAATACATTTGATGTTGAACCGTGCTCATGTGATAAATGTGAACGAACGTATGCAGCAAAAGGACCGTCGTTTCTAAGGCATAATAAAGCCACATAGATAAACAAGGCTGAGTGTGCCAATGGCAACCAAATCGCTAGCAGCGAATGGGACTCGTTCATTGTGATTTCATTTTTGTTTTTCGACATGTATGTGTGTCTGTGTGTTTGTGTTTTTGTGCTGTGTGTAACTGGCGCTTAGTACTTAAATTTCATTTACGTAGCGTATGAAAGCTCATGAAGGTAGCATGCTGGTATGCATAATACAATGAGTATGCGTCCGCAAAAGTATCTATATTGTTAAGCGTGAAATGTATGCGAGCACAGGGCTTTCGGTCAGATCAAAAGGATTTTCATTGTGTGTTTTTCTCCATTCACTCTCACTCGCGCTCCTCTCGCTAGTTTTGTAGTTTCATTTTTCACATGGAATCCATTGTTTTGCCATTTCGTTGGCTTTTGTTTTATGTCCCATTTTTTCTATTTAACCTACAAAAGCAATATTATAACCAGCATCATTTTCACACCGGTGACTCAGACGAGCATTAATTGAATTAGTTTTTGCGTTTGAGTAACAGAGGCATCCTCGGCTGCCAAAGCTATAGCACAGTGACAAATGTAAAGCCGTTCAAATCTTTATATTTCCAATGGGAACAAATCCAATCATGATTTTCTGCAGAAATAGTTCGATTCGTTATTTTAATACCGTGTCCGAAGCACTGCGTTATCATCACACATAAAGAGCCCTTCGAGGATCACAAGTACGTGTTGCTTGAAAGTAGTTAATTGAACAAAGGTAAATAAAAATCGGTAATTTGAGTATGTGGGGGCTCATGTGCTCATCAACTCATTGTAGTCATTGTAAGGAAGCAAACGAATGTATCCAAATAGCAAAACATGTTCTCAACTCACTTCACTTTGTATGAAAAAAATATTTTTTTGTTCGTTCGTTCGTTCGACATTCATTTTGTTCGATGTTCGGTCCGAACAAAAAATTTTTACATTAGAAAATTCGATCTATTGATCAAATTTATAATGTAATCGTTACAGCTCATGCTTTTATTAAATTTTTTTATAATTTTTCATAGTAATACCAAGTTTTTTCGGGAGATTTCGAAATAAAAAAAATTTTGTTCGGACCGAAAATGAATGTCGAACGAACGAACGAAAAAAATTTTTTTTTTCAATTTTCGAACGAACGAACGAACGTTTGAAGCCATCACTAGCTCAAAGCAAGAGCTCCGAAGATGAAATGAAAGGCATGAAACATATTATAATGCAGTTTCATTTGCAAACTTGATAATAAAATGAAAAGTAAATGTGTCAGTACATATTATTTCGTTACGTTTGTCCATCCATGTGCGCTTAGCAAGTTTGCGACGGAATCATGGGAATCAACTGCACTCGCATTTTGTGCAGTGAACGAATATATATATGCAATATTGTTTGGCGTATATGCTTTTCGCTCTACCTTGATTCTCACTTTTTTGGCTTTATACCTAAATACATTGAAACACGAAATACCTCAGTGTGTGATTGTGTGGAAGATTTTGATGTGTGAGTGTACAGAAGAGTCACCAGGCAAACATCTACGCTACATTTCGAAAGGAAAGAGCGCGCCGTTAGCTTTTATCCGTGCTTTCGATTTTGCCCCTCATACACATCACCAGCACACACACACACTCACACAATTACATACACAAAGCATGTACAAAGTTCTACTGTTTATATGAAATATGTTCGTTCTCTATCTTAGAACACGATCCATAATAACCGTTCATATCAGTTCAATGCTATGGCATTGTCATCGTCATCGTCATCGCCTTGTATAGTGCTGTTGCTGATTGCTGTATTTGTTGTTGTTATCATTATCGCCGTCGCCTTCATCGTCTACATGCGTTTTTTTCCTTCATTTCTCTAGTTTGTGTTTCTTCTGCTCTGTGTGAGTTTTTTTTTCGGGGGGAAGAGCAACTAGTTGCGCACTCATTTTTGAGAGTATTGTACAGCTATTATTCTGTATACACAATAATAGAAAATGTATATTAAACACCAATTTTCTCTGTGCTTACATTATTTTATTTCTTTTGTCTCTTCGTTTGTATTATTTCGTTTTATGCTTTCGTTATGTGTTGTTTTCTTTTCTACGATTATTTTCTTTGCTTTGTGTCAATATATTTTTTACTATCTACAATTTTCATTGGGTCTTATTTTTATTGTGAGCACTTTTATTGCTTTTTCTCTCCCTCTCTCCCTCTCTCTCTCTCTCTCTCTCTCTCTCTCTCTCTCTCTCTCTCGCTCGCTCTCTCTCTAGTAATGTTTGGTGCAAAATTGGCAAATAATTGACGGCTACTGGGAAGGTTACAGTGACTCGAAGTGCTTTTGTGAATGGTTATATGCGTTTTGAAAGTGATGTGGCCATTCTAAAATCAATGAAAAATCTTGAGCAACAATAAGCCTTGAACGATGATGACGACTTCAACATCGAGAGATAGAGTGAGAGCGAAGATGCCACTGTTTGTCCATTGTGTATATTTTTATTGGGTTTTATTTACTGTAATACTTCAGAAACGAGACGATAAACGAGAAAGAATTTTCTTTCAGATTTTTCGGGAAGCACTTGATACTTTTATTTGTATAGCAGACGTTTATTTATTGTCATTTAAATGCCATTAACATTTACCAGTTTACCTCTCAACTGTAACACATTGACAGTAACTGTAACGGTATTCGAACACATTCAAAGAGACCACGTCGGCGGCGGGGGCGGCGACGAAGAAGAAGACCACGACGACGACGATGACTGCATCCAAGATACTTGACAAAGAGTGTGTGAGAGCGAGAGAGAGAGAGAGAGAGAGAGAGAGAGAGAGAGAGAGCACCGGAGCCAAAAACGAACGAATTAAAAAAGTGTACACAGTCAAGGGAAAGAACGACACGAAGCACGCAAAGAAGCAACAATGTTACCGCGACGACGACAACGAAAATAATGACAACAACAGTAAGAAAAATGAAAGCTTTTTAATTTTAATCAATTCAAATTTATTCCAATGGTTTTCAAGAGATCGAAAGTGATTTTTCTTCCTTTGTGTTTTTTTAATCACAGTAAACCAAAAACGTGTTCAAAGCTTCATTGAAAAATAAGACACAGAACCGAATCGGGTATAGATGGGGAAAAGAAAAATTGTGGAATAAAGAAGCAAATAATGGTGGATTTCATTCCTTTCGTCGTTTTTCTCATTCTATTTTTTTCTTTCTGGCGTGCAACCAAAAAGAGACACTTAACAGTGGTCTTTTTTTCATCATCCATCGTCAAAATTGAAAGCAATTTATTCATGAACATTCCACATCAAAACCAAACACGAGGCTATCATACCAACAGAAATGAAAAGGGAATAGGGAAGAAGAAGAACAACGCATAATAACGAAAAATAAAGAGAAAGAGAAAAAAAAGAGTCAAGAGTAGAAAACCGTTTTAAAAACAAAAGAGGGTAGGTACAAAGAAGAGAAAAAGCACGAATGGCTGGGATAGAAACAATGAAAAATTGACGGCAAAATTCAATAGGGTTGATTCAAATTGTAAATAGTTTTGAAAATCAAGTATTTAGTATCCTCGATCGCTCTTCACGAGGATTTACTCAACCTTTTTTAACGCACACTAATCTATACATCATTATAATTAATAGTGGTTTCAATATCACACTACGATCTCACTTTCTTTTCAACTGTTGAGCTGCCGCCGAGCTACGTGGACAATTGGGTATCCTTTGCACAAAAACCGAACAGCCACCAAATTTCACTAGTTCACCCGAAGATATGAAAATATATTCAAACACAACTTAATTTTTATTTTCTCTTTACAAATTATTTTTTTAGGAATTATTAACGATTTGGTATACTAATATATTTCATGCTTAAAATAACGTTCAATTTACCCGAATGTGAGACTGATTTTCGAAAAAAAAAAATTCAAACGTTGTTGGACTTTCGGTGAAGATTAAATGTTTAATGCATTTTTGTTGATAAGTTTGTGGGTTCAATTTTCTTTTACTCCAGAGAAAATTAACATAAATAAAGCAACTTATAAACGAACTGAACGCGAAAAATGATGATTTCTTTGTGGATAAAATATACGTTTCAATCTGAAAGGCTACCTTTAACTGGGAATATTAAAAAATCTACCCTGGGCATAGACTGTGTATATGTTTTCTCTTCGGTTTGCTTTGCTAGCGCTTTTCCATTCAACTAGCGCTTTTTTACATAAACGTATTTCGCTTTTGTATGTATTGTGTCCATGAGTGAGTGTGGGTTTCTTCTGCGTGTTGGTGTGTCTGTGCTTTAGGGCTTTATCCCCTGAGAGAGTGAGAGAGAAAACGTGTCTGTGTATGCCATGTGTGGTGTCACTCTCTCACTCTTAGCTAAAGGACATTTGAGTTCACAGTCTACCGTGCATCATACAAACGCCGTTTCGAATTGAACATGCGCAACCATTTTCCACCGAAAGCGACCAAGAAGAAAAATCCAAACAGAAAATCAAACTAAATGTACATTATGTGTGCGTAAGCACCGCACTATGCTCCAGTGTGGCTGAGCTAGAGGCTGAGAAATATCAAGACACAATCTTTATTTCTTCGGTTCAACTGGGATGTTTGCAAATTCATCGTTTGCCAAGCCGATCATTTGGATGTACTAAAGATTTATTGTGCCAGAGCGCGCTTTGCTGCTACGGCAGACAAACAGAAAATCATCATCATAATCTCCGCACATTGGTGGCTCAGTTTGGCTCTTCTCTCTATGGTCGCATCGTTTGTTTTCAATAACTTCCATAGCATCAGCAACGGTGGAATTTTTTCGTATATACATTTTATTATTATTGTTGTTGTTCTCCATTGTGTGCTCTTTTTACTTTCACATCTTCCACGTTCATCGTTGACAGCTTTAACAGGGGCAAGCACTTCGTCGGAATATGAATTTACCGTATTCTTAACACCAAACAAATTTCGATTACTGCTCATCTAAAGTGCGGCACGTTAGTGGATATTCTCACACCAGATGCCCTTATGACAGGGCACACGGGTGCTCAGCATATACAGCATTCATACAATTTCATTCCAATAGAGGCATTTATTTCGATTTATCTTTTGTCTGCTTTTTTGCTGGCGACGCTACTGCTATTGTAGCTGCTGCTACTACTGTTACTGCTGATACTCTGCCCGATCTGTTTCATTCGTTTATCATGAATCAGCCCGGCTCGGTTTGGTTTGCCTTGCATTGGTTTTCGGTTTTGCTGACAGCGTGTCGCACGACCCAATGTCGAAATAAGAAAGCTAGAAAATATTTGTAAATCGCTTGAATACCAGGCATCATTATAGCAAACGGCGATACTTATGGTCTGTCGTTCTCTCTGTCATAATGTGAAACTGTCGTATATGCTGTGTGTGTGTGTGTGTGTGTATGTATGAGTGTGTGTGCATGAAATATTCTCAAATATGCTTCATCTATTCCAAGGGGAAAACTACTGTTGCATCGAAATTCATCATATTGCAATCTAATACAGCCCAAATTTTAAACAATTCTAGGCAATTCTGAATTTTCCTAATCATATTTGATGATGATTCGCTTCGAAAATCGCAACAATAGGATCATTTGACATCTCGAACGAATGCATATTGAAGATCTTCACTAAAAAAACTCATAGGACTCTTTGTAAGACCTACCTCTTACACTGGTCCCCATTCCGACTTAGTCTTTTACTTTGAAAATATTCTATGTATCATAATAAGCCACAGAGACCTTTTGAAGTGGAAGATTGAATTAGAAGTGAATCCTGTGCATGAAGTGTATCTGACTAAGACCAATGTGCTCTGAAACTTATGCATCTATTTAAAGTGCTGTTTTTGCATTTCTGAAGCGAATCACCATCAAATTTCACTATGAAAATTCGGAATTGATTAAAATTGTTCAGAATTACACAGAATTGTTTGGCATTTTTGTTGTATTAGATTGCATTATAGTTAATTATGGTGTAGTAGTAGTTTCCCCCTTGATCTTTTCCTTCAGTCATTGAGCATTGTATAACACCATACAATGTACCTCAATATGAGTTTCACTTATCCACTCAACCGTGCATTGTACAGCCGCTTGTTCGTTCGTTCGCTCGCTCGCTCATTCGTTCATTCATTCATTCGCGCGCGAGTTATAGCTCAAGTTAAAGTAAAGTAACGTGGTGCACACAAGCGAAAACAACTAAGTCAACTAATAATAATAATAAAAATAATAATAATAATAATCCCTACTACAGGATCTATACCAGATATGCATACGCTGTTGAGCACTGATATCACCTCACACACCCATCAAAAAGCAAAAAGCGAAGAAGTTAAAGTGAGGAAAAGTAAAATCGAATCAGATTTTTTTTCTTCGATATGTATGTTTTCTGGAGTTGCTGCCACCATTCTTATGTTATGCAAAAAGAAAGTGAGAAGAAAGAAACTGACATTGCGAATATCGAATAAGTAGAAGCAGAAATATCAGCGTCATATATATATATATATCCGAGCGCCTTTACTAGTATATGCTCGAATGGCTAGTGTTGGTTTCAGATAATATGTTGTGCTTTCATGCTTATGTGCTTGCAGAGTGCCTGTGTGCGTGCTCTCTATATATGTACAATTAAATCGCAGAACACACAGGAGAATCTGAATCCTATTAAGTTATACGATTTCATTTTCTTAGAATTTCCCATTCCATTTTCCACATTCATTGTGCGTACACTTGTGCTTTGTTTTTGGACTTGTCTTGCTGTTGCTTTCTTTCATTGATCGTCTGTTGTTCTGTGCAGTCACTCAAAACATCTACTCTGATGTACGTATCTGCCATTTGTTCCTTTATTTTGTCACTCGTTTATCATTGTTCAGCTAATACCACACCACCTCTGCAGGTATCCTATATCATTCTTTATTCTACACTTCTTTACCATCTATCCATTTTTTACAGCTGTTGTTGCCTCGGTACAGACATTTTTTTATTCAGACAACGTTCGACCGTTGGTTTTGATTTATTTCAATGTCATAGCTAGCTTCTTTTGCTATTGCTATTGCATAAACTTGCCTTTCAATTCCCATTGCCTTTGAACGCGCGGTCGATTTTCTCTTTCAATCGTTGCCTTCGCTTTTTCTAAGGAAATGCAACGAAAATGACCGAGAAACATCAAGCACGGTGTTGTCGTTCAACATTTTCATTTTTCGAAAAAAATTTCAATAGATTTTCAGTGCGTGATTTGGATGTGGATGTGGATGTGGAAAAGACACTATGCGCTTTATGCCAAATAAATTGCCATACACACGTCCCGCATTTTCATAAGAATTGGTTTACCTTACCTCACTTTACTGACTGATGTCAATCAGTTGGAATATAATAAATAGATGGCGGTTATCTTGACATAAATTAACTCCATTTTGCCATACGTTCCGGATTTACTCAATCAACAAATGGCCTGAAACTCATTTTAAGTCAATTCAAGTAATTATATGTGATGACAATCCAAATGGTGCCATATCAGTCTATAAATGGCATAGAAATGTGTGGAAATCTATAAATGAACAGCGTGATTATGATTTTAACTGTGCAGCTAAGAATCGACCGAGAGATGAGATTTGCCAGACATCTTCATTAACTACGCAGACATATTACGTAATTTGTGTAAGACTTGAAAATAAGACGTAAAGAAAGAAATAATATTCATATATTTATGCTTAGATTTGCGAACTAATATTAAGACAGTGTAATTGACTTTCGGGCAGCATGTATAAACAATAATGATGATGGCAATAAAAGTGGTACATCTTAAAAAACCACATTTTATTTCTCACTCATGCGTAAGCATGCCAGATAAATAAGGGGTGCTTATGGGTTGTGTATTGAGGTGAAAATGTAATGTGGAATTTCTTTGTATCCGAATGGAATGTGTGAACACAACTCTGCTTTATCGCCCGTCATTTTTTTTGCCCAGTCTTACTTTCAATTTCATATCATGATTTCAACAAGCATACATCAACTTCATTACACTGCAAGCAATAGAGGTCGCAAAAGTCGCAAAGTTTCTTCACAGTGAGTTTGTACGTTGGTATTTTTCTTTCAGACATTCATCTCATCAGCTTCTTCACCAAGTATGTAGGCCATTTCAATAAAATAGTGGTGGCGGTGATAGAGTAGTGGTGTACATGAACACAGCACACGCTATCAATAAATCTTGAAGTTATAACGTATAATCATCATTGAACGAATTCCGTTACTGTTGTTACTGTGTGTTCAGTCTTTTTTTCTGTAAAATTGGTTGCTATTTACTAGAGTTCTTCGGATTAAACGATGACCCCAGTTGCTCTAGTTGCACACATTTACTGAAATCGTCAATGTCTGTTAAGACCGAAGCATGTAACGTGACATACCGTCGTGCACGAATAATAGAAAACACGGCACATTGTTAGTTGTACTGCTGTTGTGGCCTCCCTTGCGATCATGATTATTTTTTTATTCCATTTAATAACGAGCCGATTCAAATATGGATGACACTTTGTCATGGAATTATGTAAATAAATGCATGAACTGAACGCATAAAAACCTAAATGCCAAAAAAGTAAAAAAAAAAAGTTAGGAGAATAAGTAGGAAGAAGAGTGAAAAATTCAGGGAGAGGCAGAGATCAAGAAAGAAAGAGAAGGGAGGAAGAGAAATATCATTAAACTATGAATGAAATTGTGAATAATATATGTTTCACTTTGTCACAAGAAGAGGATAAGTTTTTTTTTTCGACTTAAAAAATGTTTAGAGGGGAAAATATACTCATTTTTGTCGGGTTGTCGCGGCTTTTCGAATTTTTCGTAGATATTTTTGAATTCTGCAAAGTTGTAATACTTGTGGCGCTATATACTACCTTGCTGCGGACAGCGCACTTTTATCAGTTTCACGAAATACCACAAAAGCCGGAGATATGTAAATATAATCTCCTTTAACACAACCCGAAACATTCAAAAACACATGCTCGCCATTTCGAAAATATAAATTGATTAAAAGACATACTCTCCTTTCAGGCTCACCCATCGAATAGTGAAGACTATCAACCAAATTACATACACTGTGTGGGGTAAATTGACAAGTGGGGAAAATCAGACACAAAATCCTTTTGAAAAATATTTAGAATATTTTTTTTAAAAATTCGTTTGACAATTAGGCGACTTCGTCGTAAACTTCAAGGCGGTCGAGCATATCACCCAAGAGAAACCAATCAATTTACTCTACGCTAAAAGAATGCCAAGTTTAAGTAGTTCAATTTATTTTACACTGTTTGGAAGCCCGTCAAGTTAAAAATGCACTGAAGATTCGGCGTAACTTCGGTGTGAAATAACTTAAGTTCAATACTATGTGTATATATATATTTAACTTAAGTTAAATTACTCCGAAGTAACACCTTTTGTCCAGTACATTTTTAACTTGAATTTTAATTATCATTATGAAACGCCAAACTTTATGCTAAGTTAAAAATATACTGGACAAAGATTGTAGCTTCGGAGTAATTGAACTTAAGTTATTTCACACCGAAGTTACGCCGAATCTTCAGTGCATTTTTAACTTTGCGGGCTTCCAAACAGTGTAAAATAAATTAAATTGAACTACTAAAACTTGGAATTCTATTAGCGCAGAGTAAATTGATTGATTTCTCTTGGGCAGTAGTTTTTTGTAAGTGGATTTACGATAAAATGATGAAAAATTGGGGAAGAAGTTCCAATCAGAACATACACATATATAGCCGAAGAACCAAACATATTGTCAGTGGGTGTGTAGTGTTAACACGTAAATCGTATACACGCTTGTGAATGAAGGAGACAAAACTTTGTGCGCGCCAGCCAAATCGCCTGAATGCCTCGAGTACTGAAACAATACTCCAATGTTTACATTACAGAGTTTTTAGAAATGCTAGTAGTATGTTTTTTTCGTCATTCGAATTTTACAATGTGAATACTATATTGTTTGTATGTTTTTCTTTCAATTCATGTTTTTTGCAAAAATAAATAAATAATGTAGGATTATCGAAGATAAACAATGTACGTCAAGGTTATTTCAACCACAATCATCGTCATTTTTTTTCCATCCCGTTTTCTCATCATTGGATGAACGAGAAAGAGTTTGCTTATGGTCTTTGTCACCTACTTAATTTAAAGAGCAAATAAAGAATAGACGAACAAAAGGCATCTTACAAAAGCGCCATCGGAACACATGATGGAATTCATGTCGACCATGTGATTATTTTATTCATCTGAGTCCGCTGGAGTTCTAGTGTCTACGGAGTGGACCTCTGTGGAACACATTGGACCAGAATACATTGGGGTTTTATTTATTAATAAATTATGTAGGGGAATTCTTCGAATACGTGACCAATGGCCATACAATGCTTTAGCGTCCGTGTGGCTCACCATTCTCAATTGACTTTACTCTTTACGAGCCTATCTAAATGCCACGTGAGAGGCCAAAAATTGATGGAAACGACTTTGAGGAAACGTGAGTGTTGACCAACCACGGAATCCCATATTTTGTTTGACCCTATCAACAGGTGGCTCACTCATTACTACAAGTTTTTTTTGGGCTAATGTTAATTTCTTCAAATCGTTCAAAACTTATTTTGAAGCCATAAAAATGTGTCTGTCTGGAGCTTTAAGCAAATGTCAATAGTTATCAAATGTCCGCATTATTCCCAAATGAAAACTTTGTATGGTCAGAGAAGCTTGAATGGTCCAATCATTACAATATTCTCCGACTAGTGATATAGGACGCTATGACCATTTGACACTGAATTATCGAGTCGAGATCATTCTCTCTTTTTTTTCATAATAAAAATCGAAGATAAAATTGTGATTTAATGTGTTTCTTTTTGTTTTGTGTGTTTTTCCCCAATAATTAACAGATAATAATTGAAATTTTATTAGAAGCGACAGAGGAAGGAAAGTAAGTTTTGATTCAAGGAAAGTAAATATGCAGATAATGGTGTGCGGTAAAAGTTTTATATAGATGAACATTTCTTTTTTCCCTCTAATGCGTTTACATTTGAACTAATTTCCTCTTCCTGTAATTTAGTCGATAGCTCATCTCCAGCGCAAGCTATGTATCTCGTGGATCAGCCTCTAGTGGTTTACTTTTTGTTGAAGTTTGTCGCTCATTCCCATGATTCTTTGTATGATATAAAGTTGTATGTTTTGTTTTCTCTTTTTTTCTTCCCCTGTTTTATTGTGTTTTGTTTTGTTCTTTATCGAAACCGATTATCGAATAAACCAGCCAATGTACGATTGTTTAATTGACCATGAAAATATCCATGGGGTGAGCAAAGGAGAGAGCGAACCTGCTCGGCTGGATGATATTAGGAGAGATACAATCATTTAATGAAAATGGATTGAATGCATGTTGTCATTTATAATTGAATTAAGAAGTAGCAAATAAACAATAATATTTATTCAATATTGACCGAATCCGAATAAATTCGATTGAATCACATACACACACACACACGCACACATTCCATAACACAAGCAACGATTGGAAAGCAGACGGAGTAAATTTCTCCATTTTAAACCCCTTCTTTCACTCTCACCTTTATTTCCTTTTGATGGTTGCGTTCGCACATACATGTTTTTCCCGTTGCACATTCGATTCTCGAAAGTTGTAACAATTGCGGTGGATTCCTACTAAATATACTTGAATGTATACACGCTACAATACAATGTGCTTTACTACTTAATCACAATGGAAAATATACTGAAATGGCATTGTTATTTGACTGAGTAAAAAACAGAACAATTTGTTCAATCAATTATAAATGGTTCTTTTCGTATCATGGCGAAGTAACACACAATTCGGATATGGATTGAGATAATAAGCAGCGTAAAATAAGTAATGTTTCAATCGTTCGAGCAAAATGGATTGTTATATCATTGTGAAATGAAGAAAATAAAACTGTCCCATTCCATATAAATAGAGACAATTTACTTCGCTTCGCCGAAGAAGACGCTGATAACGATGCCGACGATGACAATGACGGTGAATACAACGTCAAAAAAACCTCAAATGGACTAGGTATTTGTATTTTACATATTTCTGTAACCGCCACCATCACCGTCGTCGTCGTCGTCGTCGTAGTCGACGTGGTTGTTTTAAGAACCTCCAAAGCTCAGCTGCTATGGTCGAAGATCACTCTGCTTTTCACACAAAATGTGACATAATACTTTAGATGTCATTTGTTTTTTCAATCGCATAACACATTCTGCCCTTCCATTTATGTATTATAATAAAATTTTTTTTTTCGAAAAAAAAATCTATCGATATTGCCAAACAAATGCCAAAGCTCAGGTCGATAAAGTTTTGCGTCCGCGCATGAAATACGAAAATATATTTCGCCACGAAAACCGTACGATGCGAGCAATTTTTCTTCTTTTCGCATCCATTTTAGCGTGGTTGATTTTTCGCGTGTTCTACTTCTCTTTTACGCTCGCTCACCACCTCATGTTCACTTACTCACACTACCCACTACGTTCGTTCCCGCACACCTATCTGAAACCACGTCTCAATCAAGCATTACGGTATGGATGGATAAAAAATCATCAGAAAAAATATGCAGGTGCGCATTTTATATATGTAAAATTCCGATATCCAATCATTTCGGCTTGCTTACATACCGACTAAACGGTGAATTGTACGAGCATGGCAAAGATACCATATGAATTTTGGTACCTGAGACGGATATCACGCAACATCACATCACATCGTAAATGCATGAAATATTCTCCGAACGAACGCACGAGCCGTTCATAATTATGGATGCGATTGGTGAAATTTGACCAAAATTTTATTGAAGCACTGGGGTCCCGACGTCGATGGCGGTCACAATGTACATTTGTAGAAAATATTGACAATTTTTACATAATAATAAAACGTGAACTTTTTAAATTCCAAATCTATTTTTGGTCATATATTTAATTATTTACTGTGGCTAACAGCAAAATGGACATTCAATATATTTTACCAATACTGTCCAAATATAATGTATAGATACATCGTACCTTACGTTTCAATTCTAATTGATAAATTGTTCACTTTTTCACTGAAATCTCTAATTGCTGTAAATGGATTAAATGAACCAACTTTAAAAAACTAATGATGCGAAAGTTGGTATTTTGCAACCAATTCCATGTAGTTTGGGACATTCAACCAGGCCAGCAAAAAAGAATCACGTGTTTAGAAGAATAGGCCAAAATAAATTCTTGTTTGTGAATACTTTCACATTTTCATAGATATTACTGCATCAAAAGGTGAAAATATTTTGACGTGTCGATAGCAAAAAAAAGCATCACAAGAGCAAGCTCCGCTGTTGCACAAATTAGACAGCTTAGATTGTTACCCTTATCAAAATTGGAGGTCAATACATATGCATCGTCACCATGTGACACAACAAAGCAACAGAATACACTACACACATTACGCTAAGGACAATTAAGATTTCCTTGATAACAATGCTAAAATCAGGAGAAAGCTAGGGATTTAGAGGGTGGCGGAGATGGAAAAAGAGCGAAATCGGTGTGTGTATATACTTGCCTCAAGGTTTTTTTTAGATTTGCAGTTTGCATACAGATAGAGAGAAAGTCTAGGAAATAAACAGTCATCAGTCACTCGTCTTACGAACGTCACTTAAAAATCGAGAAATTGTCTTTCAAAATGTATTTATTTAAAAAAATAAAAAAATATATATAATTTACATATTGCCTATTTGATGTAAAACATGTATAAGTAACTCAAGCGAACGTAGAGGAAAATAATTCAAAGAAAGCTGATTTGGATGAAATATTAGCTTTACATTTGGAAACATTCCGATGTGCGCGAAAAATGGAAGAGCGAGCGCGCAAACGAAGTACAAATACTGTACGCCGTTGGATAAATTAGAATTCATCTGATCAATATTTATTTCTTAAATTTGACTTTCCATTATTAGTGTGTGTGTATGTGTGCCAAACCGTAGGCACTTTCGCGTGCTAGAAATAATTTTCCACTGAATTTTTGCATTCTTCGATTTCACATCATACATTTGTATTACACTGTTGTTCAGGCATTTTGTACACTTTCCCACTGTCATATATATACTCATACTGTTTATATTGTACAGTAACAGCAGCAGCAGTAGCAGCGTAGCCATCAACATGGCAAACCATTATGAGAGCAACAGTAGAAGCCTTGTTGAATGTTTTTCTTGAAAATGTGTTCGCGCTCCTTTTAGTTGTATGAGCTCCAGCTCAGTGTCATGGCGTTGCGAATGTATTAGTGACGTACAGACTGCCTTCTGAAATATGAAACTTTCGCTGCTCGTTGGCTCTATGGTTAGCTTTTCTTCTTCTTTTTTTTCCTATTTCGACTGTTTCACACGTACGAAAACAATTTTCTTTCATCATTACTTTGTGATTTATGCAGTTTTTTGAACTGGTATATTTAATACTTTTCACTCGCCAAGTGAATATTTATTTGGATGGAATTCAAAATTGTTCTTTTTTCACTTCGTTTCCGAAAGATATGTGTGTGTTGGAGTACAGGTAGATAAAAGATGGCTGGTTGGTTGTATGCGGGTAAGCAGTATTATGGAGGAGAAAGGAGAGAGAGTGTGTATGTGTGTATGTACGATGTACATGAGTATGGGTATATGTATATATGCGTGTGTGTGAATTGTGGAAGCAACATGAAAAAATGGAGCTGATATACAGCCCACTTGTTGTCACTGTTCGCCCTCTCCATTAACTACTCCACGCTCGTACATATATAAGTTTCTGTAGGTCGTCGCTTGTATAATATCGTTGCTGTTGTCGTTGGCGCAGGAGAGTGAGAGCAATTTAAGCGAGAGTCTTTGTGTGCAAGCTCAATGGATTGTAAACTGTACGCGAATGAAGGGAGCGAAGCGTTGTCGGTTAATTCGATTCAACAGATGACATTTGATTATTGTTGTGGTTCAAACAATGCATATCGTACATTCGCTTATTGACTGTTACAAAATTACATTTATCACACATGTACATGAGCTCTTTTGCCGATTCCGGATGATTTTTGAGAATGTGATTTTTATAGTTGGTGCTTTGAATGCATTGAAATGCGCAACACGAGCATTTATACTTGACTTCTTTGCTATGCACCATTTGATGACGCCGAAATGCGTTGTGATCGTTGGATTTATAGTCACATTCATCGCAATTAAATCGCTTATCCTCGAAATGGTTCAGGTGATGTGTTCGCAGTGCATGTTTACTGCTAAATGTATCCGAGCAAACGTCACATTGAAGAGCAAACGGTTGACGTTGATGCTCGATCGCTTCGTTGTGCGTGAAATAATGCTCTTTTAGATGTTTGGCACTATAGAACGATTGTCCACAGTATTTACATGTACTAATGGCTGGTGGGACTGAGCGTGTGTGAATGCGTCGATGGTTTTTCATTTGACGTGCATTTTTGAAGGCTTTTGGGCAATAATCGCACTTAAAATCTCTAGTATCCGAATGGATTTTCATGTGGGTATTTTTCAATCGCGATAGAATTGGCGTTTTGAATGGACAGTGCGGACACTGAAACAGTTCCATATCAATGTTGTGCTCCCGCCATAAGTGCGTATGCAAAGTATTCCAATTCCAATTTCGATTGTGTGTGGTTTTGGATGAGGCTGTTGTATTCGACGACGTCGTTGTCGACGGTTCGCAGTCGTTCCCTGAACTTGAGACGGTCGTCGTTGATTCAATTGTTGCCAGTGCCGTTGCCATTGCTGTTGCTGCCGTATCAATTTGACATTTCGGACATCGAATCTCCTTGCTATCTGATGAGTGACATTGTTCATGGAGTACAATTGCTGCTTGTGTTGCGAAACGCATACCACAATTACTGATACTACATTTAGTTGTGATGACATTATTTCGATTACTGATTCCATCTGAAACAATCCGAAAATGTCAAAAAATACGTTAGCACTTTGATGGAAGCATTGAACGAGAGGACGATAAAAGCGATGGGAATATCGTAAATGTGATAAAATTAATGGAAAAATGAATCGTCTGAAGTGAACGGAGCGTGCAGAAAGGCAGAAAGGGGATAGAATATCCAAAAGAGGGTGAGAACCGCAAATGAAGAAGAAGCGAATAGGAAGAGGGACAGAAATAAAGCATGGAATGAGAGAAGAGGTTGAGTGTAAAAAAACAAGTTGGGAAACATACTTATTTGGCGAGCTCCTTTCGTGCGCCCACTCTTTTTCTTGTTGACTGATACTGGCATTGTAAGCAATTTGGCTATATCATTTGTTTCAGCATCCATTTCGGTGGCTGTTGCTGTAGCTGTCACTGTCACTGTCGTCGTCATTGTTGTTGTTGTTGTCGTTGTCGAAACCAAATCTATAGTCGGCGTTTCTAGTGGTCGCATATCGATGCTTTTCCCCTCATATTGGGCCTGCGTTTGAGGTGGAGTAACTTTGGTTAAATTGGTGGCCAAATTTATCCGTGGAATACGGTTATATGGTTGCGATGATTGCGATAATCTTGGTGAATTGAGCATCTCAAAGTCCTGCGGCGAGATCAAGTTATCGTCAAGAATTTGCTCGACTTCATCGTTGGTAAGGTCCAAAATATCGATTATTGCCTCAGATGACACAATCATGTAATCGGTGCTATCAAATGCTTTCATTGGCATGCATTTATTGGCGAAGAAATGATTGCCATCATCATGATCCAAAAAATCCTCCGATGGAGTTGGCCCATTCAAATTGATGGTGCTATGATTCATGGTGGGATACAAATCCGCAGAATTTGGAATATTGCTCAAAATCCCATTGCAAAGTGGTCGATCCTGACTGCAAATTGAAAAGTCGCCAAAAAGAAGGAGAAAAAATATAAACGGTCATTTTCGTAAACAAACAGAAATCAGCATTTGAATTTTTTGCACAGAAAATAAAAGTTGAGAGGTCATAGTTGGTTTTATTCATACCTTTCGTATGTGATCGAATCGAATGTGTATGTACTACTGGCAGTTGCATAACTTTGCGAGCTGGCATCGAGGTTTGTGTTGGCATAGTTCGAGTTGCTGCCACCATTATAGTACTCCACTGGGTTAGATGCTACTTGAGGCTCATTCGAGAACATGAAATCACTGACGTCATTCTCAAGATATTGCGGTATGATATTGTTATACTCGTTCGCATCGTTCAATACATACCGATACTCATCTTCGTTGAGCGTTACACCATCCGATGGATTGAAACTATTGTTCTCGTGTGGCTGAAAATAGTTAGGTAAATATTAATCATGGCGCTTTTAAGCGTTTTCACTTTGACGGAGTTACGCCTTTCGAATGAATACTAAAGCAGATAAAAAAAAACAATAACTTGTTATAAGCATATGGACTAAAGTAATTGATTCAAAAATTGTTGATTCAAAAACCAATTGCATCCCGTGTGCAAATAAAATGACTAACAGTCACTCAGTTGCATGTAGCTGTATGTAGTGATACACAACTAAAACGGGCTAAGTTGATTGAAATCATGCGTTTTGTATGGAGACAATCACGTTTAGTTATTCTCTCAGTCAGTCGACTAATTTGGGACATTTTGACTAAGAGTGATTTGTGATTAAAGTTAACTGCAGTTGCTTATTTTGTTCGAGACAATCACTTCTAGTCAGTCAAATAGTCATTGAATGTCCCGAATTAATCGACTAAAAAATTTCCACACGGGATTCTATTGAAGAAAATGACCAAATCGATAATTATTGAAATGACGAACATCCATGACTTTGAGTGGATTTGCTACATTTTCCACGCGATTGATAAAATTGAATTAAAGTGAAGTGAAGTAATTTGACAATTCGTTTTGTATTTACAGTATATACTACAACGCGATTCTATTCAATAGATATGATAGCTCTGAAAATTCTTTTGGTCTAAATATTGGGCCCATTGTATGTCGGCATGATGCTAATATTTGTTATTTTGGGTTATTATTCCTATTTTAATACCAGACATTCGATATTAATGAATACTTCTCTTATCACAGTATACCTTGTTGATCAGCAGATTTACTTCGTCGACAGTGCGCAAATGCAGTGTGTTTTTGCGACAGTTTGAGTCCGTTAGGCTTACATCTTGTGTTGATTTGATTAGCGGCTCTTTTAAAATATCGATATTTTTTATGTAAATTTTCTTTCGTTCATTCAATGGCACCGATGGTAGCGGCGATACTGATGGTGTTTGATTTAAATTCGATGAAATTTTTATGCTTGGCTGTTGGTCAAGATTTGTGTGATGTGAATGTTGATATAGAAAATCCGTACTGCTGGTGCTGACCGTGGTGCTGACAGGCCAAATACATTCCGTATTAAGAAAATTTTCGCTAAATTTGACCGAACTACCCGAATCCGGTCGATTTGCTTGTGGATCATCGATTGATGCAATTTCAATTATCGGCGAAATAGCATTCATTGGCATTCGTTCACGGTTGTCGGTCATATTCAAGCACTCGTGCGATTGAGTCGATGACACCATTGGAAATGTTGATTCAATGTCTGTAATGTGCTGATACAGGCAATTATTGTCTAGCTGATTACGAACTGGCATCCGATTAAAATTGAGCTCATCAACAATTGATGCGTCGTTTTTGGCGATTTCATCGGTTAAATTCGATGAGCATTCACTCTGGGTTTCCGATGGCGATAAGATAGTGGGCGATGATGTATTTTGCCCACCAAATTGGCATCCGTTAAACCGTGGATTCTGAAGCACTTCCACATTTTTTAAGTAAATTTTCTGCTTCTCAGCACCTTTTGTTTTCGGAATATTGACCGAATCAGTCTTTTCGTTGGAACTAATGGATTTGCTTGCACTCTTCTTCAAAAATAAACTTTCCATTAATTGACTGATTTCTGGCCGACTCATTTGATGGTCATTGACCAGATGAATTTTTAACGACATCTTACTGTAGAAAACATTTTCACAGCCGGGACAAAGAATCTTGTTGCGAAATGATCGATTGGAAATACTTTCACTGTTTCGATCGTTATTGTGCACCGTTTGAATATGATTATTGTATCCATCCTGGCTAATGCTCATGAACGGGCACTGTTCGCATTTGAAGCATTTCACTTTGGGCCGAGCCGTTACCAAATTGGCAGTCAGATTCGATTGTGAGCATGTTGGAGTTGGTGAAAATGTCTGGTTTTTCGATGATGGTTCCGGTGTTGATGGTAGATCTTTATTCAGTCGAGCAGTTCCAAATGCTTGTGATTGATTTGCATTATCAACTTCAGACTTGAATGGAGGTTCGGCCTTGATTTCCTTCGCCGATTGGCTAGCATTCGATTTGGACGGTACCAAATCTGCATTTTGCGTTGGTATTTGCACAAAAACACTAGGCAAAATCATTTCACAATACTCAAAATCTTTGTTTGAACGGAGACACTCAAACTATTTTCTATATTACGAAATCATTGTTCACAGAAAACCCTTGTCCACATTTGAGTTTTGCTCACAAAATATTTTTTAACTTCCGTTTTCGAATATCAATTTATTTGATCATTTGCAATAATTTTTTATTTTACATTTTCGAATTTTCTTCTTCCCAATAACGAATTGACGTTTCCATCATAAATTACAAATCGAAATGTCATACGAGTAAATAAACAAAAGACAGTTCACTTCTCCTTTTTCACGAACTACTTCAGAACAGCTGACTGCATTTTCCGCGTACTTGGGCTGTTTTACCAATTCTAACTCAGTGTTTATCCATCTCAATGTATGACAAAATAATTTAATGCACTGCGGAATAATTTGAACGAACATTTAAATTGGAATTCGCCGATTTTTCTCAAGTTGAAACAAAATTTCGAAGTAAAAATATATATGTATTATAAAATGTTGTCATCAAAAAGATGCTATAATTATAGGTGAATACTTAAATGTCAAAACGTTTGCGCCAACTTCATAGCATAACGATGTATAAAACCTCAATCTCTTTAAGTAGATTACAGACTTAGTTACGACCAATATCGATAGCTACGCTTTTTTATCAGTTTCTTCTGAATTGCCAAAGGATTTCAATGTGATATGTGTGTGTGTTTTTTTCTGCTCGATATTGTTATCTATCGATTTCATGCTGTTATTGTTGATAATGTTATCGTTTATATGAATGGAGACTTCTGTAATACATCAATTTCGTAGAATGATACTTATTTTTGCCGTATTTGTGTTTGAATTATTAAGTGTTCGCACAATTTTTTTTTTTTTCATTAATTTCAACTTGCCAAAATTCATTCTTCCGTTTTGACGATTAAACTGCACCACCATAATAATTCCACATATATGATAAACTCGACTGCCGGTTCAGGGTGCACAGAAAAAAACGGAGTTTTTTTTTGAATATCCATGATTTCTACTTTACTTATTCAATACATTACTTATCCTAAGTACAGAAGTTCTCAAGTTCAGTCGTCCCGTATCGAATACTTTGTTGACAAAAATTCGTGACATTATACATTCGTTTATGGGAAGGAATAAAATAAACGAAAGGAAAAGTCTTGAGTGTTTTCATAATTCCACAAAATAAAAATGCTGGAAAGTAAAAAACCTTCGCAATTGATAAAAAAGTTGCAATCGAATGAAGTGGAATTGAAAGTGAATTTTTTAGACGAAACAACCCATACATTTAGCGTAAAGGTCAGTGCAGTTTGTTTTTGGATACAAATCAAAATAAAATCGATATTTCAATCACGCATAAAATTGTGCAAAAGAAAAATACAAAACAATATTGTATATATGAAACGATATTTTGATTATTCTTTTCTCTCTCGCAGAAAAGATGCTCGGGAGCCGAGTTTTTACACCAAGTGTTCGACTATTTAAATTTAATTGAACGGGAATTTTTTGGCATACAAATCATACCGTATCACCAACACGAAGAATTTGTGGTAAATATTCGGGTTTAATGAGAATTCGGGTGATGATTTTTGTTCTCAGGTGGCTGAGTAAAATATTCTTCTTATTTTTCACTCTCTTAGATTTGGATTGATCCAAACAAACCTCTCCTCAAACATGTCGCCAAAGATGACCGTCAAAATTGTAAACTTCAATTTAGTGTTAAGGTAATTGTTTGCCACCAATACGTTCATTTGCATTTTGCCTGGCTAATCGATCCATTTATCCTTACATTCAACAACATATTAGTTTTTCGTGACCGATCCAAGTCAAATACAGGAAAAATGTACCCGTCACCAATTCTACCTACAAATTCGCCGTGATATTTATTTAAGAAATTTAAATTGTCCATCTAGCACTCAATATCTTTTGTGTGGCTATATCGTCCAAGGTGAGAGATAAAATAATTTCGTTTCCCACAATCAAAATGTCACAGAGGGAATGTTACATTATTATTTCATTCACTTTATTATAACGTATTGATTCCATTGCAATTTGAATTGTAGTTGAATTGGGCGATTACGATGCCATCGAGCATGATTCCGATTATTTAAGGAATATAAAATTGATGCCGAACCAGAATGATGAAGCGGAATATTGCATATCAGAGCATCACAAATTGCATCAAGGTTTATCGTGCGATGAGGCGCTGACCAATTATTTAGAGCATGCTACAAAAATTCCATTTTACGGAATTTATTTTTATAAGTCGAAAGACTCGTGCGGCAAAGACATCGATTTGGGTGTCACATCTTGTGGAATGATCGTCTATCAAAATGATCATGTGGTCAATGAATTTTCGTGGTCCAAAATGCTGAAGATTTCCTTTAAACGCCGCACATTTTTTATTGAATTGAAACGTGAATTGGTAAGCTAAATTTAGTTTAAAACAAAGTGAGTAGAAAATTGTAAACGGTCAATGGTCAGTTATTGAACCAGTTAAAAACTATACTAAATACGAAGAGGCATTTTCAAACTATTACTACTTACCCATAGTGCAAATTTGCCTCTAGTGAAAAATGGGTATATTTTATAAACATAAATATAAAAAAACGAGAATGGCGCTTTTGCAAATCGCTTGAGACTTTTGATCGCTGTTTAAAGAGGGTGTTCAGTGTTCTTCGCAAAGCGTCAGCAGACTAATGCGACAGTTCTTCACCTAAAGAATTCACATAATCGTCCAATAAGATATGAAAAGAAATATTATACGCATCTATTCTTATGAAATATGGGAAAATTATATATTAGTAATGGGAAAAATTATTTCTTGTGTATGGTTTCGTTTTACTGACACATGACCGAGAGCATATTAGAAATTATAAATTAAAAAAGATTCTTTTGTTTTTCGTTCAGTCCGAAGATTACAACACGATGCTTGGTTTCAAGATGAGAACGCACAAACATGCCAAAGCCGTTTGGAAGACTTGTGTTGAATATCATTCATTCTTTCGATTGAACCGTAAAGCGGTCACCAAATCTACCTCAAAGCAATCAAAAAGTTACTTCACTGCCTGTACGGATATCGCCAAAACAACCAAAGACCACGAAGAACCATCAGGAAAACAGTTCACTAAACTGACAAAAATCAGTCAAACAATTGCGGAAAATCGAATGAATGAAAAACAATGCATTACAAATGCGACAAATGGCAGCTCGACTAATGGTGGAAATGGCAATGGAAAATTGTCGCTGCTATCCATCACCAAATCCTATAAAACGTACGACAATAAGGTCACATCAAAACAAATCGAAACTATACCACGTATGGCATGGGAACAACAAATGTAAGTATAAAAAACCACAATGTTCGTATCGATTGGTATTGAATTTTCCTCTTGTAATATTTGTTTGTATTCAGGCCACATGAGACAGTAGCACCCCAACCACTGTCGGCTGCTGAATTGATGCACAGTGCCGCAGCGCATTTGAATGATAAATCGTTGATTACCGTTTGCATGGAAGCCGATGAACACGGTCGATTCGGATTCAATGTGCGCGGAGGCACAGATGTAAATTTGCCCGTTCTTGTAGCTAGAATTGCGCCACACTCACCAGCCGATCGAGTTGTGCCAAAGATCAAAGAAGGAGACAAAGTGCTCTTGATCAACGGACATGATGTCAACGGATTGACACACAGTGCCGTGGTGAATTTGATCAAAGCAACGCGCGAACACAATCCATACGGTCAACTTGTGTTAACGATTAAGCCAAGCGTTGAAGAAACCGCCATTACGGAGGAAGAAGAACCAATTTGCCAATATGTTCCAGATAATTATATTGATCATCCCAAATACGACGATGCCATATTCTCACAATCATTATTTTTGCTACGCGATGGCTTGGCTTCGGGCGCCCTTTTGGAGCAATTCGAACAATTGTACAAAAAGAACGATAATCTAACCATATCCGAATCGAAGAAGGAGGAAAATATGGCAAAGAATCGCTATCGCGACATATTGCCATGTAAGCGCTTCTTTTTGTTCGAATAATTTTGATTCGAAATTGTCATACATATTTTTATCTCTAAATTTCGATGCTTCCTTTCAGATGATTGTAATCGAGTTGTGATTGTAAACACTGCTGATACCGAAACCGATTATATTAATGCAAATTATGTGAACATGGTGATACCGAATGACTGTGTAAATCGTTACATTGCTACGCAGGGACCGATGCAAAATACGATACTAGAATTCTGGCGAATGGTTCAGCAAGAAAGCAGTAACTTCATCGTTATGTTGACCACAATTATTGAACGTGGCCGCGTAAAATGTGCTCAATATTGGCCGTCCATGAATGCAGAAATGCAACTATCGCCAACTTTTTCAATAAAATTGCTTAGCGAATGTTCCGATGCGACTGATAGCTATGTGCTTCGAAAAATTGCGCTCAGTGACAGTGTGGTTAGTAATTATATTATAGGAGTTTCTTCTTTTGAACTATAGTTACAATTATCGAATGAAATATATCCGAACCCGGGTATATGTTTAGGGTTGAATGTGGAGTTACGTTTGACCATAAATGCAATCATTTTTCCCCGTCAAAAATGAGTGAAATTCGGGCGTAGTCCAATTGTGCATGACATGAATGGAAAGAAAATAGAATGAAATCAATGCTCTTTTTTTTTCAATTGAAAACCAAGTCATTTCATTTGTGCTTACCTACGCTACCAAATCTACGTACTCCCGTGAACAACAGAAGGCTGTCCCCACAGGCCCTCAAATTAATCAAGGCCAGTTGGCTAACAAATCGTTAGTACAAGTATTATTTTTAAAATCTATTCTTAAGTGATATGGAGTTGGTGCTACTGCTAGTGGTTGCTTCAATCTATTCATCATCCTCATCTTCGGAGATGTGCTCGTAATCACTGTCGATTAGTGTTGGCCGTCGAACACTTTCGAACACTTGTTCGACCGTTCGACAATATAAAAAAAAATTGTTTTGTTCGTTCGAAAGTTTTGTAAAAAATTATTTTGTTCATTCGTTCGTTCGAAAAACTGAAAATTTTTTTTTTGCTCGTTCGTTCGTTCGAAATTTATGAAAAAAAAATTGTGTTCGTTCGATCGTTCGGAAATTGCTATGTTCGACCGTTGGGATTTTTACATTTGAA